CTGGGCATGTAGTAAAACACTGACTACCGGAACACCGGAACACCACCGGAACACCACCGGAACACCACCGGAACACCGGAACACCACCTAACCCTAACCCTAACCCCAACCCTAACCCCCAACCCTAACACTAACCCTAACCCCAAACCCTAACCACAAATAAAATGGTGGTGTTCCCGGTGGTGTTCCGGTGTTCCGGTAGTCAGTGTTTTACTACATGCCCAGATCTGGGACAATTTACGCATTCTTACGTGTATTTAGTGGCGGACCATTAGAAATCCCGGGAGGGGGGTATAAAATTTTTGCGGCACGAATATTTTTTTCAGTCTCGTGTCTCTGCAGGAATTTTTTTTCAAGACTATTTGTACTTCGCTGTTTGCTTGCACGAATTTTTTTTCTCTGAGGTAATGGCTGCACGAATTTTTTTTCCAGGCATTTTCCTTTGCACGAATTTTTTTTTGGGAATTTTCACCCCCCCTCCCGGGATTTCTAATGGTCCGCCCCTTAGGAAATTTGAAATTAGCGCAGTTATAAATTCCAACACGTGATAATGATCCAATTCCGGGCCACGTGACCAATATCCACGCCTTTTCAAGACACTTTGGAGGAAGTGCTCATCAAGTGTTCCTGATATACCAATACCTTGTTGCAAAATGGCAGACAGCACAGGCGACGATATTAAACCTATTGATAACGAAGAAATCGAAGAAACGCCGGGCTATCAGCCTCCCGCCCAGAAATCCTTGAAAGAAATCCAAGACCAGGATCAGGACGACGAATCGTTGCAAAAATACAAGGCACAATTGCTGGCCGGGGCCGAGAGTGTCTTGGGTAGGAAGTGCTGACTTTTAACTTTGTTTCTCGTTCTAAAAAGTTGTGGTTTTCGACATTGAATGTCAACTTTTGTAATGATTTTCTGCGTAAAATTATTCCTGTAAATATTGCTACAATTTTTGAACAAGGCGAAAAATTAGCACGGAAATTCAGTCTGCCAATAATTATATTTTACTTTCAAACGACTCTCGTCTTCTGAATCGCTTGCGATTTTGAACATTCCATGTAAAGTTTCCCATATATGAGATATTCTCTGATCACTCATGTAAATTTTGCTTCATTTTAGATGAAGGAGGCGAAAATGTTCTGGTGAAACAACTGGCCATCAAAGTCCAGGGAAGAGATGACATTAAAGTCGATCTAACCGGTATTAAGTTAGTGTGCTCACTGCTTTCGTTTAAAATTATTTATCCGTGTTTATAACTCGATTTATTTTATGCAGGAGACATTACGAAGCTTAAAGATAAGCCCATAGTTATCAAAGAAGGCGCTGAATATCGAGTAGAAATCTCCTTTAGAGTAAGTAATTACTGAGTTAGCTTGGACCCTTCGAAGTTCGAATGGCTATTGAAATTGCTTCGCGGGGAACTGTTCTCACCCTCAGCGTTTCCGGAAAATACCGCATTTAAAAGTTTGAGTAATCGATTTGTTTGTAAGTTTACGTAACAAAACTTTTGCCGACGAGACCTTGTATGTCGTCGCTATTAAGAAATAGTGTTTTTCGTTTTCTGCATGTGAAGGAATTTTAACTGTAACAAATTGTTTATATTGGGCAATCAATAATATAAATATGTAACAATTTATGCATAACTTACATGTACCGATGCAGGCACATGGGAAGGGATGATTTTCATTTTGTCGCCCCTAAGTATTGTGCTATAGACAAGGCGAATCTTTAGCTGAGCTGAGTTTTAGCCAAAAAAACTGAGCTGAATTTCAGCCAGGTGCTATGTCCTATGAAAATACAGCCTGCAATTGCATGACAAAATTTTCAAGCCTAATTTGAGGCCACCCAGGATATAGGGCTCTTTTGGTATGCCAATATACTGAAAATATTGCACTTTCAAAATAGGCCGGAGACCCCGACACAGTATGTACATACAGAGGTCTCACTTCTGCGGGAAAACCGTAAGGTAGTTTTTACCAATGAAAACAGCTGGCGACCATGTTTTCAGCAAGTGCCCTAAAGAGAGGCATTCACCCCCCTGGAACATTAAATTCCAATATGTTTTCAGTGGGGTGATGGCCTCTCTTTGGGGGCACTTGCTAAGAACATGGTGGCACAGAATAGATACAGGACCAGAAGTGTCACTCAGACGATATTTTGTCCGAAATTTTACGAGTGCTGACGTGAAAATACGCCATCATATGACGCCATCCTGGAGTGCACACGGAAGTTTTTCATAGGAAAACATAGGTACAAAGTTCTGTGTGCACTCCAGGATGGCGTCATAGCACGAAAAAAAATTTCGGACATTTTCCTTCAGCCAAAACACATAGGAGTGTCCCTTCTGGTCCGGTATCTATTCTGTGATGGTGGGCTGAAAAAATCCATTATGCTAAATTAACCTGAAGTGAAACCTTTGTATGTACCTACTCTGTGGTCGTGGTGTCGTGAGGTTTACCGCTGTTTACTTTTAGTGCTATAAATGTATTGAAATATCAATTCTGCTCCCCAGTTCTGTGATCCGCAGTCGGGAGATTACTTTTTTCTGGTTAGGGTATCGACAGCAGCACTGCCAATGGCAGTCAAATCAACTTATTGATGTCATATTTAATTTCGTACAGAGATTGAGATTTGACTTCCACTGCTGCTTAATATGTGATTGGTTAATCGGGCAGAATAAATGCATCCGATTGGTTTAATGGTAATACGAGTGAAAGTCAAAATCTGAACCCTTCTATTGACTTTGGGAATATCACCTTTTTAAATTGGCATTTGTGAAATTGCTTCCTGTCGCTAGCTCTGTCCAGATCCACTACTTTACCATTATCCTTAAAGATGCGGCACAGTCCATTTGCACCATCAGCACCTTCAAACCATCCATGTTTTCCTTCTCGTTAATATGTGCTTATTATAATTACAGGTACAAAGAGAAATTGTTGCAGGTTTAAAATACTTCCAAGTGATTTCAAGAAAGGGAATTAAAGGTATAGGGCTTCATGATTCTGCTCATATGACCTCTTACTTTATGCCAAACAGGAGTTAGTGGTACATTGGTGTCTGAAAAGGTACAATTATTCAGCTGGGATCTAAGATGAATTGTGAAGGGTCGAAGGCTTTCCAAGGGTGCCTTTGGCAGCCACAGCTATGGTGGTCAGTTTGGGCCTAATTTCTAATTTCAACCCGAGTACCTGGAGAAAACCCACAATTTTCGGTAGAGTGTTGACCGACTCTTTTCACATAAATGTCACAGGTCTGCAGTAAGAATCAAACCCACAATCTCAGAGGTGAAAGGCGCTTAATTCAGTGGTGTAACTACTATGGGCTCAGACCGGGAGAACCCAGAGGCCCCCAACCACAATGGGCCAAATGGGGGCCCCCAGGCTTAGGCGATAGAGCCAAAACATTGGCCAGGGCCACTGATATGTTACAATGTCATTTTATGACTATCAGAATTCTGTAAAATCTCTCCCCAAATGGTCCAGGAAATGGCATTTCAGAGTCTAGATTAAACAATTTTCCAGATGAGCATGCCCTGGCCCCCTAGAAAACTTGTGCATATACTGCGCTCGACTCGTGCCTTTGGCACTTCTACTAGCCTGGGGCCTTTGAAAATTTTGAACCGGGGGCCCTCTGATATAACGTTATGCCACTGGCTTAATTGCTGTGATGATTACACAACCTAAACACTTGGTGATGCAATCATCACAGCAAAAGGGGTTGTAATTTGTACTGAGTGGCTCCAGGTACCCTCTTTCTAACTCACCAAAGCTAACTCTTCCAACTCCGTAATCAGACATGGTAGCAGCTGAAGATTCAAGGCTTGGGCTTGGCTACCTTTGAGGCATGTCATTTGTAATTTGCACTTAGGGCGTTTACCATTAACATGGCCAGACTGGTCAGAACGGTCAAATTGTTGAATGGAACACAAAACGTTTGGGCTTCGGACCTATCTGACCGGAAAATTTAGATCGAATTAGAATGAGGTCCATTCTTGCTAGATATTTGAGAAACATAGACCAGATCTTTCCATTGATATGGAGACAAAAATTTGGGTCTGAAATGGAAAGCGCCCTCGGCTTCCTTTTAAATATGGTCCTGGCCAATAAGCTTAGCCCTAAGTTAACCTAAAATTCAAAGCAAACTTCCCAACAGCTTTTTGTATAAATTTGGAAATATTTCTTTAGAAATCTTGTCTGTATCAGTAGGAGTTTTCTTCCCTGAAGTTTTAAAATAAACAGATGTGCAGAAATACACAAACTAAAACAGCAGGTTAAATTTTAACCGAGGGTTAGCTGCTTAGCACTAGCCCATGAACAACCGCGCCCTGACCATTTTTTTCCTCTTAGTCGACAAGAATGACTTTATGGTGGGCAGTTATGGCCCCAAGACAGAAGTGCAGTCCTACATGACACCAGCAGAACAAGCGCCAAGTGGAATGTTATCAAGAGGTCACTATGGCGTAAAGAGCAAATTTACAGATGACGATAAAAAAATCTACCTGGAATGGGAATGGTCATTTGATATTAAGAAGGATTGGATGTGATAGACTAATGCTTAATTACTGTTGGATACTAATGACAATAGTATATATAATTGGAATTTCGCTTAATATTAGTTAATTTTATCAATGCAATGCTTTTTCACGTATGTAATATTTTTGAGTTGATCTTTTGTATAAATTAATGACAGTGTGGGCAACTGAATAAAACAAGAACCATTTCAAACTCTTCTTTAACCCATTCAACAGCAATGCACCCTACTTTATTCTTTTACTCTGTCTAACGCCAGACGATTTTACTCGTCAAGGAGAAAGTCTTGCACTCTAATCGGTTAATTAACCTGGGTTTTTTTTCTAGAATCTTAGAATGCCTCAAATTATACAAAAAACTGATTGCACTGCAAAGATCACTTAAAATGACTATATATAAACCTCTTTGATAGATACTTGTAGCTCCCTTAATTCCTTCCCGAGATATTCAACAATCACACTGAGTTTCTACAACAGTGTGTTTGTCTTGTAGGGTAACGATAACAAATATTTAAAATTGGGCTTTTATGTGCATAAACCATATTTAATCATTAATCGTCTCCGTTTCAGTGTGTGGAATGTTTTCACCAATTTCAAAATGAATGATGCTCTTCAAAATCTCATGCAGTATGATGTGATATTTGCATATCAAACAAAGTTGAATATATATCTCGGAAAGCAAGAGAGCTACAAGTATTCTATCAAACAGGTTATACTGAAGAAAAAATTGGATGAAATTTCGCCGTGTCGTATATATGCACTTTAAACCAATGAACATTTTCCATTAGCGCCTTTCCTCGAAGCCTGCCATATTTCAAACATACTTTCCTCACGTTTTATCAAATCAGGCATAAGATATCTACAGTCCGAGCACTTGTAATGTACACTGACATATATACAACACATAAATAAATTATTTTACAAATCTCGATATCTGTCATTACGAAACAGGAACTCTGTTGTCTTTTGCCCATTTCTTCATTGTGCGTATAATATATTCCACCTGAGGATTACCAGTGTTTCGTAACAACTGCAGAACATCACGTAATGTCTCCCTATAGAAATATTTACAAAACATTCAACAAGTACAGCTGCTGTAAAAGAACTCTTTAAAATGTAGAATAAGGCATTTTACAGGATTTTTGTATCTTCCTTTGGTTCGACGATATTTCAGCGCGTTTGATATGCAAATCACATGACATCACAAGCAGGGTCAACTTTTTCTCTGTCCACAGGACCCTTAAAACTTCATGTTTTTGTATGACAGATTAGTCAATTGAATCATCGATATAGATCTGAATGATTTCATCTACAGGGTGAGTAAAAAAAACTGATACCTTAGCGGCTAATTTGAATAACAAAGGTGTCAGGTTTTTTTTACTCACCCTGTATTTTGGACAATAAGTTTTACTATGCAAGTAAAGTCGACTATTTCAAAAATATTTATTCAAGTTTAAACGTGAGAATGGCCGTCACCCCCTGAAAACATATTTAATTTAATGTTCCAAGGGGGGGGGGGGGATGCCTCTCTTTAGGGGACTTGCTAAGAACATGGCCGCATATAAAGAGACCTCTGCATGTACTTACTCTGAGGCCGCAGGCCTACTTGAATTTATATTATTCTGACACTGCAATCGAGCAACGAAAAATTCGTTGGCTCGAGCGGGATTTGAACTCGCATCTTCGGGTATCGTATCTCTGAGGATGATTCTGAACTTACTTGAATTTCCAAACACGTTTATTCAGTTTACTGCCGATAAAGGAATTTCTGAATATAAAACTTACCTTGGTTCGTGTCCAGCAATGATCTGTTGAAATATTCCCACACATGCTCCACGTTTACCTTCCCAATATTCGGGATTCGGATCAAGTCTCTCTAAAACATCAAACGCCTTCGCAGAATAATAGAAATGACCCATCTATATAAAAGATTATTTTCATGGTCGTCAAAATGTAGTTTACTTTGGTCGCTTTTCGGTATACTGTACATATTATTTCAGATTTGACTTCCCGCACAACCACTACTGTTCACAGGCTTAATAAGCATAAGTCAAAATCTGAACCTCTGTATAATGACTGAGGGCCTGTTTATATGGAGGGGAGTTACCCGGCAAGGATTTGTTAACTATAGTTATGAGTATAATCATTATCAGTTAATTTACAGTTGAATATTTGAAAAAATGCTTTCACATCGCTTAGATTTTTCACGTCCTTTTCAAAAAAGTACCCCAAAAATGGCGAATTTGGCCTTCGTGAGAAAGTCTAATTAAATTCGACGATAATGGGACGTGTATGAAACAGGCCAAGGACATTGGCATTCCACGTGTATCGTGCGTGAGATTATATACAATTTTCAGACCTACACACGTAAAAACGCACAAGTTGTTACAGATCTGCAAACAAGTTGTTACAAATCTGTTCACAAAGCTGTCGACAAGTTGTGTTCGCACTGCTTGTTCCCAGTTGTTGTAACAGGTTTGGAACAAGCTATTAAGAACTTGTAACAAACTTGATGGCATTATCAGACTTGTTACAAGGTTGTTCTATAACAAGTCTGATACAGTCATGGTATAACAACAGTGTTACAAGGTTGACGACACTATGTTGTAACAATATAGTTATATCATGACTGTGTCGGACTTGTTGGAACAACCTTGTAACAAGTCTGATAGTATCAACAAAGTTGTTACAAGTTGTTAACAGCTTGTTCCAAACTTGTCGACAACTTGGGAGAAGCGGTGAGAACACATCCTGTTGATGGCTTGTTGGCAGACTTGCTACAAGATGTGAGATTTTTGCGTGTGTAGTAAGCTGCGGAGTGCAGTTGACGAGCATTAATCACAAGTTCTTGTTAGTATATAGTGGGTGATCACGGTGATGCTTGCAGGGAAAGGGTAAATATATCAAGGAATGACATGTACAAAAACCCTTATATCGACATTAGGGGCGGACCATTAGAAATCCCGGGAGGGGGGGGGGGGTACAAAATTTTTGCGGCACGATTTTTTTCATGATTTGCCTCATGTCTCTGCAGGATTTTTTTTATGCATTTAACCTCTGCAAGAATTTTTTTTCAAGACTATTTGCACTTTGCTGTTTGCTTGTACGATTTTTTTTTCTCTGACGTAATGGCTGCGCGAATATTTTTTTTCCAGGCATTTTTCTTTGCACGAATTTTTTTGGGGGAATTTTCACCCCCCTTCCGGGATTTCTAATGGTCCGCCCCTTACGAGATTATATGGCTAGATTAATAATTATTATCTTATGCTGACCAATCAGTAAACGAACTGACGGAAAACCACAAACAACGGGATATTATTTTCTATATCCTGACAGGCCATTATTTTTTTGAACTGTCTTTGTCAGTGTAGGTAGTGCCAATCAAGTGAACAAGCTTTCGTTGGTAGGGATGCAACTACCTCAAAAATGTAAGGAGAATTTCGACGTTTCGAGAAAAGGCCCATCGACGGCATCTATTGCAGTCCAGGGTTGCCAGGTGGTCTGAGTCCGAAAGAGCCAAATGATACGTAAAAAGTAGCCAAATCCGGTCAAAAGAAGCCAAAATCGAAATTTAGAGTGGGGACTGGGGCTAACCCAATTATACGAATTATATACCCATAAAAACAATCGCTAATACATTTATATTTGACATAGTGACTAAGAATTCCAACTCAAACTTTATTTAGTTCCAGGTGATCTTGATACGCGGAAAAGTACTGGCACTAGTTGTCAAATAGAAATCCATTTTATGATTAAAACAACTGAATATCTCCTGTAGTATACTTTATTTCGATTCCATATTTTTGTCAGAGCTATAGTTCACCTAACCAAACATAATTACAAAATTTCAACTAGTTTCATAAAGAATAACAAAAGATATAATTGACTGAATACATCAAAATGGATTTCTATTCGGACAACCCTTTCTGAGCGCTGATTGGCTGAAATACGAACACGAGATCACCTGGTTATCAAGGTAAATCATCATCGAAAGGTCATCGAGAAGCAGCAAAGAAAAAAACGAGTATTTTATCATTTTCGTTTTCCCGCCATTCGGGGCGAACCGCGTAAGCCCAGGGAGAGGGTAATAATTCCGATCAGATACTTACGTACATCCGGAATCCCGGATAATGTGATCGAACCATCAGTGGATCGAACATAGCAGAGTTTATAACTAACTTTTACTGATGGATGGCAGACTATTTTTGAAAAGTTGCTTATTTCAGTATTTATTCAAAAAAAAGCCAAAAAGAGCCAAAAAATAGAAAGAAACCAAACAAAATTTTTAGTAGCCAAACGAAGTCAAAATCGAGAAATTTGGCTCTTTTAACGCCAAACTGGCAACCCTGTTGTAGTCGTGTTTGATGACTTTTATCCTATCTAAAATGCACTCGCATTTTAAATATGATAAAACACTCCTACGCGTGTTTCAAGTAGTACTTCGCACTATTTGCATGCTATCTGACCACGTGATGTTAGACGACGAATCAGAGTCGACCAAACGGCCGGTACGATGACGCAGATGGCAGACAATCTTCGTTGTTGATTTATACTCTTTAACATAACAATGGTGTGTATAAGGAAGACAACAGCTTTTGCTGTTTTATTGCTTGCTGTTTACACAGCGCTTCGCCAAGTAGAAGCTTTTGATGACTGTAGTAGTGACTCGGACTGTTCATATTCAAAGCCGTATTGCTGTGAAAGATCATATGAAAGTAACGTGTGCCGATACAATTGCATTGATGAGTCTTGTATCTTTCATAGCGACTGTCCTCCAGGCGAATCTTGTTGTGATTCTGATAACAAATGTGCCACGACTTGTGTTGGAAAATCGTGTACCTTTGATAACGACTGTGCTACCGGGGAATGTTGCGATTCTGATGGAAAATGTAAAACAGACAACTGCGACTTGCTAGCTGGTTGGATTATCACGGTGATTGTCATCGGTGTTATTGTCGTTGTTGTCATACCTATTGCCGTTATCGTGTTTTGCTGTTTTTGTGCCGCTGGTGCGGCGGCATCCTGGAGACGACCTGCTCGTGGTGGTGTTATAGTAACACAGCCCGCAACAACAGGGACTACAGTCGTTGCAACCCAACAACGACAACAATACCCTGTACAACAAGGACAGCCCATGTATTTCCAAAGCCCTCAACCATATCCAAACCAACCCCCACCGTATCAACCCGCACCGTATCAACCCCCACCGTATCAACCTCAAGGCACAGTGTATCCACCAGGAGCCAGTGGTCTACCGATAGGAATGCCACCACAACCGGCAATAAAGCAATAACAAGTGCTTTGTTGGTTGACAATCGCTTCGATGAAAGAGGTTACAACTTTAATCAAACTTTAATAGGTAGTTGACTTAGAAAGGACTGCAATATATATGCATGGCGGTCCGTGTCTAGTTTATTATATATACTAACTTTGGAAAGTGTAAGGATGGTTTGGAACGCATTGATCGTGTGTTGTAACTTTGCGTTTGTAACACTGTCTCTGTTATGCTTGTGATGTTATACTCTTGAGTGCATATCCACACCGGGCAAGCTTGAAAAATATGCCTGGCCACCGTGGCCAGGCATATTTTTCAAGCTTGCCCGGTGTGGATATGCACTAAGAGTAACATCACAAGCATCATATTCACCTGAGTGCACTACACCAACACAGAAAAAAACTGTCTCTATTGTTTTACAATGTCAATGTAATGTGTAGGTATTGGGACTCCTCAGTCCTGTTGTCTGTATCTTCAATCGTTTTGTTGGTTGTAAAGTTTATAAATTAAATTAATACATATAATATAACAAGAAACACATTCCTATAATAATAATGCCATCTTAATACGAGAGATGAATGTTTGAAACTGTGAATTTTTTACTCTATTTCAAAGTCATCATCAGACATATATATAGAATATATTCAGAGTGTAAAGGAAAGGATTATCCAATTGTTTGATTTAATATAGCAGAAAAACTATACAAAACTTAAATTTTGATATATCACAACAAGATTTTTATGCAGTTTTAACTGAGATATATATATATAATCAATGACAATGTTTTAAATCGAACAAGCATTTTTGACAATGCTAAACATTTGCATAAAATGTTCAAGCCCTGATAAAATATTTTTCTTCCTGGCAGTAGGCTTCCCGGACCAAAAATTTCCTGCCAATTTTTATAAAAAATATGAATTTTGGTTGTAATTCAATAACAGCGTCGTATATACTACCTTACTAAGTCATATACTACCTCAATGTTAAGAAAAATATAGGTTTACTAGACTGAAATAGGAACATGCATGAAGGAATTCTATGAAACAATATTTGAATTTTGTTTCAATTTATATCAGTATATTCATGCACTATATTCAATAATAGTAGTACGCCCTTGTTTTCCACATGTATCATAATCATGAATCATGATAACAGACAGTCGTAGCACTGCCACATGATACAAATTTTTTTGTTATGATTGTTGTATTTATGCTCTAATAATTGTGATGTTTGTTACTTTAATGCTGATTTTTGAAATTTCTCGAGCTTCATTCTTGATATCTTGCTTTTCCTTAAAAATTTCCTGTGGGATTAAAAAAATTTCCTGGCAGCATGCTGCCATGCTGGCGGACTTTCCCATGCCTTGAATTTTCAAGCTAAGCAAACAGTATTAAATTGATACGATAAATAATAGGCTAAAAACTAGTTTACAGTTTATTTGGATGATTTTGTTCTGGGCGTTGCAGGGACGTGCTGGAAAGGAGCCGACGAGAACTTGTTATGGGCCATCATGGCCCCTAAAATTAAAACATTGGTAAAGATAAAAAATATAGATTTTAATTTTGAAAATCAAGATTAAGATATTACAATTAATATTTTAAAAATCAAAATTTACGAAAATATTACCGAAAAATGTAACAAATTACGGTACATTAATTCGAAAGTCACTGAAAATTTATTTTTACTTTCCCCGCTCGCCAAACATTTTTGGGGAAAAAGAGTAATTAGCGACTGAAATGTTTCACGTTTGATCAGTAATACCCCCACCCCATGCAATCTTGATCCATCCGTCACTGGGCCCCATCTGACGTTGCTCATTCGTCGTCCATTTCAAGACCCCAGCACGTCCCTGGGTCGTTGTCGTTACGTTGCCGTCCTACATCGTAAGGTCGCTAATGCGAAGGCTCACGACGTTGTCTTATGTTCCTTAAATGTTTATCATTTTTTGTGCGTTAATTCCGGCAAAGTTAAGAAATAGCAACAAAATCGTAAAGACTCTGGCTTGCGAGGTTGCAAATCGAAAATTCAATGTGACAATGGGAAATGAAATAATTTGAAATTTAAGTTCGCTTCAATGAAATACCCAATAATCATGAGCGAATGGCAACTGCATGTAGTGACTGAAGTTCGTACTGAAATTAGTTTAACGCGGTAGTTCTTTTGATTTGCAAAAGAAGCAAAATTAAGAAGCACGACAAATGGCAAAATTCGCACGGTGCTCGTTTGCACCAACAACTGCAAACTGCTCTAATTCTTTCTGTCACTTTCATTTGATCTCATCCGTGAGTCGGCCTCAACGGCCTTTGACTGAACCATATAGATATCTTATATACACTAGATAGTGCATCTAATTATTCTGCAATTCAAAAATTGAAGCCGTGATTGCAGTCTCAGGTCGTTCCCATGAAATGAGAAGACTCGTATGTTTTCTATTCCTTAAACAGGGAACTTAAAGATGCGGTAAAGTCCGTTCTGCGCATATTTCTGCGCATCAAAACATTCCATCAGTGGGGGAGCAACCTTTGGAATGTTGTTAATATTTCGCACCTTCCGAACTTTCTTCAATTGAATCTCTAGTCTGTATTCATTTACAAGCATAACGAACCAGAAAAGTGTTAAAAATTCAGTATAATATATATCCAATCATATTTTGCAACTGTAGCAGTGAGTTCAAAATGTAAACAAAGCGTTTGTTTACATTACGGACTTTACATCACCTTTAAACATTAAGTTAACCCTATATTCCAAATACATTTTTAAACTATTCAAATGATGAAAGTTATTGTTGTTTTTAACGGCCAACATGGCCGCCATCTATTCAAATGGGGGTAACCGCTGGAATATTCGTGGCTTCAATTTTACTAAAAGAGATGCACTATCTAGTGTATATAAGATATCTATGGACTGAACACTGTTATATACTAAAAACAACCCTAATTAATAATGGTGAATATATGTTAATAAACATTCATTGAAATCGTGTTTCGTGTCGGTCCGAATGCTATATGCATGCATGCAATTACTATCGCTTTCGTTTATGACACTGTATGGTATTCTATTTATCTATTTTACGCTTTGTGACCTTTATCAGAAATATTTAAAGTGATAAAATACTTTAGATTGATCGCTATTATGAATTTGGTTCATATCATTGTGTTCACATTACATATATATTTAACTTTTAAAGGGAATCCAAATCTGCAAACGGGACCCCTGGGGCACAGAATACTACACAGAAGTCCATCTCCATTGTTTTTTGCGTAAGCGCTATTCGTCACTCAGCAAGTACCGTAAACAGAAGCAGTCACCCCCCTGGAAATACTAAAAATGTCGCACGTCCAGGGGGGTGACTGCTTCTTTTTACGGTACTTGCTGAGTGACGAATCATGACGAATGGAGCTTACGCAAAAAACAAAGGAGATGGACTTCTGTGTAGTATTCTGTGCCTGGGGTCCATATACACTAGTAAATTTGGACCCGGGGGTCCAAATCTATACTATATAGTGGATATGGACCGGGGGTCCAAATCAACTGGGACACTGTACATATTATATGCTAAACGAGAAGTTCAGATTTGACTTCCACTACCACGACTGTTCACAGGTTTAATAAACATAAGCAAAAAGTCTGAACCTCTCTAATGACTGAGGGCCTGTTTATAGGGAGGCGAGTTACCCGGCAAGGCGAGTTACTCGGCAACGTCGAGATCCCGCGACTATTATATAGAAACTTACAGTAACCTCATGTGACTGTTTACATTATGCATGCAGCTGAATGAGCGCCTGTTCATATGGGCAAAAGTTATCCCGATTAGTGAGAAAACATTTCGACAAGTTTACAAGCGAGATCTCGCCTTTCATGGTATGAAAATAATATGAAAAGTTACACTGCGTTCATATGAGGGCCTGTTCATATGGGCAAAAGTTATCCCGGTTAACGAGAAAACTTTTCGACTAGCCAAGTACTTTTGTTTTGTTCATATATTATGGAGAAACGTTATCCCGCTTACCGGGTAAAGTTTTCGGCTGTGACGTAGCACTGAACATCAATTGAATTGAAAAGTTATTGTCATGACCATGGGCGTACCGGAATGAAAAATTTAGGGGGGCGGCAAGAAATTTGCCCGACTTTTCCGGATTTTGCCCGACAAGTACCGAAAAAAATGGAATTTGTTTTGGCGACCTCCAATGCATGGCATACATAAGACATAGCACTCCGGACTTGCTTTGTGCGTGTTATCGCTGTTAAAACGGCAATTTTTAGGGTAAACACCAAAAATTAATCGTCGATTTTTGTGTGATTGGTGTTGTGTACACAGGTCAATATGATGTTTGTGATGTTACTCTGAGTGTATATCCACACCGGGCGAGCTTGAAAAATATGCCTGACCACGGTGGGAATCGAACCTATACGACCTTTGGAATACTAGCCCAATGCTCTGCCAACTGAGCAACGCGGTCAGGTCGGTTCGAGTAAGTGATATTTCGGAACAGAATCTAGTTCCTTCGATACCAATGTAATCTAGTAATACGATTTTTTCTGTGTTGGTGCTGTGTACTCAGGTGAATATGATGTTTGTGATGTTATTCTGAGTATATATCCACACCGGGCGAGCTTGAAAAATATGCCTGGCCACGGTGGGAATCGAACCTATACGACCTTTGGAATACTAGCCCAATGCTCTGCCAACTGAGCTACGTTTGCTCGTTGTATCATGAACAGGAGCAAATGTATATGTCAGTGAAAAATGTCATACGAAATTTGCTCGTGTATAGACGGCGCTTAATAGTGTGAACCTGGTTTAGTACCTACTATCAACACATTAGGTTGCATAAAATGCGAGTGCGCAACACGAGCATTTTAGATACGACAAAAGTCATAAAACACGACTACAAGTGTTTTGAATAGCTTCAAACACGACTACAATAGATGCCGTCGACGGGCCTTCACTTGAAACATACAGTACTTCTATATATCATGTAATTCCATGCCCCAAAGTTACGACAAGTCGGCGGTATTTATCAAGATTTAGGATAGACTTGGATCCAAGTCTAGATTTAGGACAGTATAGATGGAAATGTATAAGATAATTGTTTTTCTGATTTTACTGTAAATATATTAATTAATAGATAACAATGAACTATATAACTAGGGGCCTAAATTAAAAGCCTGTTAGGGTTTCTAGTAGGTCCCTAGCCCAATATTATTAAATATTAGAAAATATTTGTAAATATTAACAAAGCTGTACATAGGGGGGGAAATAAAAAATAAAAAACTGATTTAAATCCAAAAACATAATTAAATCATACGGCACATCAGTCAAGATTTTAATATCGTATTTCAGCCGCGTTTATATATACTGCTCGGCGCGCATTCGCTGCGTTATTTTCATTTATAATATATACCTATGTTATACACACAAATTTTTACTAATAAATCAACACTATATGATAATATAGAACTCACAAAGTGTAATCACCTTTTTTAAATAAACCTTTTTTAAAGTATAGCGGAACATTATATACAATTTTCAGACCTAGTAAGCTATACAGAGTCCACTTGGCGAGCATTAATCACAAGTTCTTGTATGTATATAGTGGCTGATCACGGTGATGCCAGGGAATGGGGGAAATATCAAGAAATGTCATCTACAATAAACCTTAAAAAACCCCGGTACATTACTGACGAGATTATGGCTAGATTAGTTAATTATTTTATGCTGACCAATCAGTAAACGAACTTGACGAAAACCACAAACCACGGGATATTATTTTCTATAGCTGACAGGATATTAAAAATATTTTTGAATATGTTAGTGTAGGTAGTATCAATAATTTGAACACAATATAAGGAGAATTTCGACGTTTCGAGCGAAGGCCCGTCGACGGCATCTATTGTAGTCGTGTTTGAAGCTATTCAAAACACTTGTAAGTGCGTGTTTTATGACTTTTATCATATCGAAAATGCTCGTGTTGCCGCACTCGCATTTTAATATGATAAAACGACTCCTAGGCGTGTACACTATTTGCATACTATATTTGATGACCACATGATATATGACGACGAATCAGAGTCCAAACATGGCAGTACGATGACGCAAGCAATCTTGGTTGTTGATTTAGACTCTTCAATATAACAATGGCGTGTATTAGGAAGGCAACAGCTTTTTCTGTTTTATTGCTTGCTGTTTTCACAGCGCTTCGCCAAGTAGAAGCTTTTGGTGAGTGTAGTAGTGACTCGGACTGTCCATATTCAAAGTATTGCTGCGACAGAAAATATCCTGACACGAACGTGTGCCGATATAATTGCATTGATGAGTCTTGTATCCTTCACAGCGACTGTGCTCCGGGCGAATCTTGTTGCGATTCCGACGACAAATGTGCCATAAGTTGTATTGGAAAATCGTGTACCTTTGAGAACGACTGTGCTACTGGGGAATGTTGCGATTCTGATGGAGAATGTAAATCAGACAATTGCGACTTGCTAGCTGGTTGGATTATCGCGGTGATTGTCATCAGTGTTATCGTCGTTGTTGTCATACCTATTGCCGTTTTCGTGTTTTGCTGTTTCTGTGCCGCTGGTGCGGCGGCATCCTGGAGACGTCCTGCTCGTGGTGGTGTTATAGTAACACAACCCGCAACAACAGGGACTACAGTCGTTGCAACCCAACAACAACAACAACAGCAATACCCTGTACAACAAGGACAGCCCATGTATTTCCAAAGCCCTCAACCATATCCAAACCAACCCCCACCGTATCAACCCGCACCGTATCAACCTCAAGGCACAGTGTATCCACCAGGGGCCAGTGGTCCACCGATAGGAATGGTACCGCAACCGGCAATGAAGCAATAACAAGTGCTTTGTTGGTTGACAATCGCTTCGATGAAAGAGGTTACAACTTTAATCAAACTTTGATTAGTTGACTTAGAATTAGGACTGCAATATATGCATGGCGGTCCGTGTCTAGTTTATATATACTAACTTTGGAAAGTTTAAGGATGGTAACTTTGTATTGTAGCTTTATTAAAGTTTGTAACCCTGTCTCTATTCTACTGTTTTACAATGTCAAAGTAATGTGTAGGTAGGACTTAATTTGGGACTCCTCAGTCCTGTTGTCTGTATCTTCAATCGTTTTGTTGGTTGTAAAGTTTATAAATTAAATGAATACATATAATATAACAAGAAAGACATTCCTAATAATAATGCCATCTTAATACGACACGAATGTTTGAAACTGTGAATGTTCGACTCTATTTCAAAGTCATCATCAGACATACAGAATATATTCAGAGTGTAAAGACTAAAGGAAAGGATTATCCAATACCTATATTTTACACAAGTTCGGATGTCCCCCAAAAAACTATACAAAACTTAAATTTTGATATATTACAACAACATTTTTCTGCAGTAATAACTGAGATATCCATGACAATGTTTTAAAGCAAACAAGCATTTTTGACAATGCTAAAAATTGCATAAAGTGGCCTATTAAATTGTATATCTTGATGGATAAGCTTGTTATCGATTTACGTGTGGTAAAAAAACCCCACAAGTACTGCACATTTGTTTCAAATATCAATATTTGATCAACTGAAAAAGCTTGTCTAAAGAGAAAAGTACTGCATGTACATTGTCTGACAGGGAAAACGGTGCATGTCACCAAAGCATTTTCGATAGTCTGTTAATGCGAAGGCCTTACGACGTTGTCGTGTCATTTGTTTGGGCTTTAATTCCCAATGGGGAATTATTTGAAATTTAAGTTCGCTTCAATGAAATAGCGAATGCAACTACATGTAGTCTTTACTGAAGTCTGAAATTAATAGCCAATAGGCCATTTTATGCAAATTTTTGGCATTGTCAAAAATGCTTGTTGTTAAGTACTATTTATAGCACGCGTAGGAGTGTTTTATCAGACATAAAACGCGAGGCGCAGCCGAGAAAATCAAACCTAAAGTTTCCTAAACCGAGAAAATTAATATGATTTTTTATCACATATATAAAGATACGACACGCTTATGATTTTTCTCTGTGTTTTCCTCCTGAATTATTAATGAGTTTTTTAATACTGCATAAAAATCTTGTTTTATCATATCAAAATTTAAGTTAGCCCTTTCTGGATACGATAAAATTTATTTGACCACGATAGCTGTTCTAGTTGTTCTGCTATATTAAATCAAGCAGTGATCCGCCATATTAAATCAAGAAGCAGGCGATGTCTGACTCTAAGGACTTTAAGGGCCTATAACACTATTGCGTATCGTACTAGCGTATGCCAGCGTATGAAAAATATCACTCATACCGAGTCATACGCCGGTATACGCTGACATACGCTAGGGGTACGTTAGGCATAGGTTGTATACGTTTCAAGCACGGTCGTATACGGTGGCATACGGCGAGGCAGACAATTTTTTTTAAGCATGTTCAAAACTTTTGTGCGTATCGGACGTATGCTTTATACGATAAGCATACTCTAGGCACACGCTGAATACGCTAGAGGTACGCCAGATGTACGGTACTCATTCGCTGGCATTTCAAAGGATTTTTGTGCGTATGGAAATTATTTCATTAATTTTCATACGCTTCTCATACGTATCTCTCATACGCAATAGTGTGACAGGGCCTTTAAGTTTAATTTATGTAAATCCAAAAGACCAAAATACATAAAATTATGTACAAATTATCCACTTCCCTCCTCGATAACATAACAGTGGAATGTCGTGATAACTTTTAGTGAATTCGTAATGATTACAAGTCAATGCTACAATAGCGAACTTTTGCACGCAATTCCATGGTCGCCATTTTGATTTTGATTTCGTAAGAATTACGTAATTTTTACCAAAAAGACCACAAGTGGCCCCACCGACTAATTAGCTGTATTTATTACATAGTAGAGTGAGATACTGAAAAATTGGAGTGAGGTATTTTCCATATATTTCACTAGTGAAGATATCGATCACGTGACTTTTTCCAATTTGCTTTTGAGTGTGAAATTTCACATTTTTTGCTTGGGACTATATAATAAACAGAACATTACACGGTGGCTTGAAGATATGACTTTTATCTTCTCGTGTTACAAACCATATTTTACTCGCTGCGCTCGTTCAAAAAATAGTGTTTTCACCACTCGAAGATAAAAGTCATATCTTCACACCGCCGTGTAATATCCTCTATATACTCGTTAAAAAAATTAGCCTAATTGTAAGGTCTTGGGTAATTATTTCCTTCTAGGACAACAGGCGAGGGAGAAAAACTACAAATCTCAGACAATAGGCCCTAACTATATATAATCGAGGGCTACGTCACAGCGACAAATAATTAAGGAAGATATTTTTACCTTGTAACAGTCGTTGGCGATCAGTTGAAGTAAACTAAAAGACTCCGCTGATGTTTCCATCTTTAAATACAGTTCCCAAGCCAATCTGGCTTTTCTGTTCATGATATCTACGGGAGAAGAAAATACACTGAAGACATGCACCGTGTGGTCTGATATAATGGGTCTGATTATAGTAACCTGGGCTTGAAATAACGTTCCCAAAGTTCCCGATCATCGTGATAGGCAGTCATGACTTTCCCTGCTTTTTTCAGGTTGGAAACCGGAAACCCTGCTTTTCCGCCGATCATAAGCAATTTCTTGCCGGCGATCATTGATCGGCTGTTATTTCAAGCTCTGATAGTAACAGAAATTACATACGACATGACTTACAACATCTGGCCAGCCAACTTAAGTATGTGTAGTCATTCTTCAGTTTATCGGATTGAATGAGGAGAAAAACCTAAAAAGAATATAAAACAATAAAAAAAGTAAATTTCCGGAAAGAGCATACTATAATTTTGTGTACTTTTGTCTTGCGTGCGGAAATTGCTACCACATTTGGGCCGAAAATGGCAGCAATTTCCGCACGCAATACAAAAGTTTACAAAATTTGCAAACTTATATCCTTCGCATTTTACAACAAAGCTATATCCTTCGCATTTTACAACATTTCGCAACCAAACTTTGCAATTTTACTAATTTTATTATGCTCTTTCTATAGCTGTGGTGATTTATTTGCATCTCCTTGCCTAGTTTAAAAATTAGTCTATAATGGGAATTGTCTATTGAATGGTGGAATCTGGGAATCTCGTGTCAGCAATTTTCGTTTTACAAATTTTTATTTCATAATTTCCGTTTGCTCGACTAAAGAAGTTATTTACAGTGGTTCCTACAATTTTTTGAAATATGGAAAGTTATGAATTAGATCAAATTTTTTAAAGAAATGTTATTTGGAAGAGAACAAAATTTGTAAAACTTATGTTGAGCAACATCATAAAAGCTGGAAATTGGTCACAAAGAATCACATCATAACTGTTGCTATGGTAACAATGACGATTCAATATGGCCGATTATTCAACAAAAATGCTTGGTGGTTGGTTACGTTTAACTAATTTCATCAAGAATACGGTTTGAAATTCTTAAAGAAAATCAACTTGCATGTACTGGGCTTCACACATACTTCTTCCGCTTCTTTATAATTTCCTGCAGCTGCTTTGGCTTGAGCGTAGTTGAAGTTGAACGCATCATCGTTATAGAAGTAACTCTGAAAGAAAATAATATGATTAACAAATTTATAACATACTTTTGATAGTTCATTTGATAGTCAGGTCAGAAGCTGGTTGTACGAAGGTCGAACAGCGCTATCCAATGAATAGTAATTTTTTCAAACTTGTTTGTTGATAGGCAATTCCAGCTTTTAGTTTATGCGCGCAGGAGGTGATTGGAAGTAAGGTATCATATTGCTGATTATGCTGAAAAATAAAAATGGTGGCCCTGTAAACACGGAGTTATAACTTATACTTGTAAAAATTGAAATATTTCGGTTGTTTCGGCAGTTTTTATCGAAATTTTTCAGCATGATCAGCAGTATAATATCTTACTTCCCATCACCCCCCTGCGCGCATAAATTAAAAGCTGGGATTGCCTAATAGGTATAACCCAAATTAAACATTAGTATTTATAAATGGACGATTCCAGCTACAGGCTCAATTTTGATCTAGGAAAGAAGAACAAAATCCATCACCACAGCTAGAAAGAGTATGTTAAAATTTGTAAAATTGCAGAGTTTGGTTGTGAAATGTTGTAAAATGCGAAAAATATAGTATCAATTGTATTAATTTGTATTACGTGCGGGAAAATGCACCGACCGCATTTAGGCCGAAACTAATTTTAAGATGCTCTTTCTAGCTGTGGTGATGGATTTTGTTCTTCTTGCGTAGATCAAAATTTTTGTCTATAGTTGGATTCATCTATTAAAGTTTCCTTTTATTAATTGTGATGTCCATATCCGTACAGTTTATCAAGCTTTTCAAGTACTTTTACGACGGTTTAATGCAAAATGCAAAAGTCGGGTAAATTTCGTTCTGCCCCCCCCCTAATTTTTTCGCTCCCGTACGCCTATGATTCGAGATGATATGCAAAGTATGCCGCAGTGATCCCCAAAGGGTTTGTCATACCTTGACAGAATTAAGATAGATCATGACATCTTCAAACTGTTTCAAAAGGAAGAAACAGGAGGCCATACATTGTCGACCAGGAATCGTGTCTGTAAACAACAAGACAGGAATGCTAAACGATCGCCTTAATAATAGCGACGCCGTGATAAAATAATGAACTGTGGTGATCCAAGACAATTAGCAAAGCTCACGCCGCCATTTTTGGGTGGCTTTTCAGCCGAAGTCTGCGAGATAAGTCCACATAACAGTCGATTTTTTATAATTTTTTGGACGAATGATTGGTAAATTTGCTTTGTAAATGGTTAGTTTATTTTGAAAAATTGCCTTTCACATTGTTTTAACGAGAATTAGATGCCACCCAAAAATGGCGGATATTCGTCATCGTTAGAAAGGCTAATTGAATGTTTTGAAGTGTCCTGAACAGTGGCGAACACTATTAAAGAAGGCCCATGCAAGAGGGGCAACCGCCCCCACCCCTTAAAGATGTCTAAAAGCCTTAGAATGATAATTTTTCAATCACGAAAGCATTGGCAGGCTAAAAATTAAGCTATTCACTGTATGAAATTTTTTATCTGCAACAATTGTAAGTGGAACTGGCAAACGCTATGAAGCATAAATAGACCCTGATAAAATTTATACGTGATTTTAAACTCTCCAGTCAAGATTAAAATGAACCTTTCTATAGCGAAAATTTACATGTTACTATTTTATCTTTACAACAATTGATATACCCCCTGGGAAGTCAGGTGGGTCTTCCCCCACATCCTCGAGTACATCCATCCTTTTCACTTACCACATTCACTGGCCGACCCTCCAACCAGTTGAAAATATTGTTGGGCGATCTTCAAGTGCTCTCTCTGTAAAAAATGTTTCGTAAAATGATTAAATGAATGGCTTGTGACAATTGAACATATAACTAAAAACAGCCCATCACCACCCCCGCGCGAAGTGGCTCGATAGTAAAGCATTCTTGCATGACATCACAAATTGTCCTAAGGTTGGAACTATACGAGAACTGATAAATAAACCAATCAGCATACAAAATACGCCACACGTGATCTCAAGTTTCTGATACACTGAATACTTTATATATGGTATTTGATGTAATATTTCAAATCTGACTATGAGGACTGGATTAGATTTCAAGTCCGCGCAATTTGATCACGCCCAAGGCGAAGCCGAAGACTGGATCAAAATGCGAAGACTTGAAATCTAGTGCAGTCCGAAGTGGAGGATTTGAACTGACATCTCATGCGAATAAATCACTACTTAATTAATTTTCATCCAGTCCAAGGACTGAATAGACCAGGTATCCAGTATTATCATGTGAGCAAAATAAAGCAATATGTTGGCAAAATGAGTTTGAGATTGTATTGTCAATCAGATGTACTATATAGTATGGGACCTCGTGTCCTCTTATAGTTACAACCGCCTTAGGGCAAATTTTTTAAATAAATAAACAAATAAACTCACCGAGCCTTGTTCTTGGCCAAGAGCAGCGTTAACCACACCTTTTAAAATATATTCCTGCAAAGCGGATCGCAAATTGCGTCAGTAATTAGATATAACAAGTAATTCGTAATTATAATGTAGAAAGGGGCATCTCGCACCTATAGCTACAGACTTTGTGATTGGTTGATTACGGCAATTATAAACTATAGAAGACAAGAAAAACATGCAAAGACAGTCACTAAAAAATGTTGTCATTTGTATTCATAGAACTCACTCGAGTGCGTCTTGTCTAAGTAGCACTTGTCTTTTCTTATAAGTGTTGCCATGGTTTCACATGTTTTAGAATCATAGCATTTACTTATCTGTACAGTCAACTGTACCCACAACACGAGGGAAGTCACAGAGTTAGTTTTTCGCAGCAAATATCATGGACGAAATCTAATGTATTATTCTTGAGTAAGCATGCAATTGCCTTGGATATTTATTTGATAACAAGACTTTCTGCTAGCTGCACAAGTTTCCACATCCTAATTGGATGTACCTGTTGCATGTACGTGCATGCATGTACAGCACCGAAGTGTCAAGAAAGGTTGTATATCTGCAAGGATGGGGAATGCACGTTCTTTAAATGCAGATCAATACCACCTGATCATGTACAGTAGACTACGAAAACCATTCTGCATTAACACATGTACCTGTCGAAATAGCTCTGACAATAAGTATAATATAATGTTCGTCCATTCCTTCTATTTGTTGGAACATTATACAAATAAGTGGCTCAAGGGACGTAAATCATTCACTCAAGCTTTACTCATTATTCAGGCCCCCAAGTTAAGGGTATGTGCTTTCATTGAGTGGTTGGAGGGTGAGTGTAGTCTCATACTCAGTGAGGATGAGTGGAGACTCATCGAATGTTCAGTTGTACTTATATTGAGACTGATTGTGGGAGCTTTTAGAATACAGGCGTTAATCTAGTTGTCTTACTGGAGGTACTGTTGGCTCCAAATCTTTGATGAGGTTGTAAGCTTCCAAGACATCATCTAAAATAAGTAGGAAGCGCCCGAGTCAGATTACTATTAGCACTTAGGTTCCATTTTTCACGAGGGATAACGTTCGCATTTTAGAATTAGATTTAGATCTGACTGATAGCATATACACTAGGAAAAACAAAAAATTCAAGTAACTATAGGTATATACTGGATAGCTTCAACAGTTCTAAACTGTTGTTCTCTATAAAGCACCAGGGAAGGCTATGCATCATTTACTGATCCAGGAAGAAATTTCAGTACCCGAAGAAAGCCATGCAGCGGTGATTATGCTGAAGTCAAACGGTATAGTGCATATAGGAATCGAACCTAGGTCGCAAGAGTTTAAGGGCATAAGAACCGATAACACTGTCTACCAACCAGTACTGCAACAAGTCACCCCAAGGTCGAGTCATTTCAATGTCTGATCGAGACGAGTTGAGCCATTGACTCGAAGTGAATGACTCCACTTGAGTCAATCAATCCACTCGAGTCAATAGATTCACTCAAATCGAGTCAAGTGGAGTGAATGGTTCCACTCGAGTCAATGGCTCCACTCAATAGCTGAATCAAATTCAGTCAGGGAATTTGATCTGGTCCCTCTGAACTTTCTGTAATGAATTGGTACCCTGGCTTGCAATCTGTAAAATGACTGATCAATCAGATTTACCTTTAATATAATTTTATATAGTAATTGAATAGCAGTATCTAGGCATGATTTTTTTCTGTGTTGGTGTTATGTACTCAGGTGTATATGATGTTTGTAATGTTACTCTGAGTGTATATCCACACCGGGCAAGCTTGAGAAATATGCCTGCCCACGGTGGGAATCGAACCTACGACCTTTGGAATACTAGCCCAGTAACATTACAAACATCATATACACCTGAGTACATAACACCAACACAGAAAAACCCATGATTACTAGATTGCATTGATATCGAAGGAACTAGACCCATCACATACTCGAACAGTCGAACCGAGCTGACCACGTAGCTCTTTCGGAACAATTTCTGATATACTATAATATACTATGTGTAATATTTCAAATCCGACTATGAGGACTGGACTAGATTTCAAGCCCACGTAATCTGATCAAGTCCGAGGCGAAACCGAGGACTTGAAACAGGACTTGAAATCTAGTCCAGTCCGAATGGACCATTTGCATTATAGACCAAATTTTAATCTAGACAAGTGTAGACAAAAATTTCATCACAACTTGAAAGAGCATCACAAAATTAGTAATATTCCGAAGTTTCGTGGCGAAATGTTGTAAAATGCGGATGATATAGCCTTGCGAAGTTTGCCGTTTTTCAGTCATTTTGTATTACGCATGGGAAATTGACAGCCCCATCGGGTGTTGGGGCATCAATTTCCCGTTTGTAATACAAAATGACTGAAAATTGCAAATTTCGCAAGGCTATATTATCCGCATTTTACAACATTTCGCAACGAAACTTTGGAATATTACTAATTTTGTGATGCTCTTTCAAGCTATGTTGAAATTTTTGTCTAGACCAAAATTTAGCCTATAATCCATTGGAGGATTTGAAATGACATCTCATACGATAAACTCACTACTTAAAGTGAGGTGAACTAATTTTGATCCAGTCCAAGGACTGCATTAATTTTGATCCATATGCTTCGGATCAATATGCTTCACCAGGTATCCAGTATCATGTGAGCAAACTAACCAGATGATCTTGGTACGCGGAAAAGTACTGGCACTAGTTGTCAAACAGAAATCCATTTTATGATCAAAACAACGAATATCTCCTGTAATATACTTTATTTCGAACCAATATTTTTGTCAGAGCTATAGTTCTCATAACCAAACATAATTACAAAATTTCAACTAGTTTCATGAAGAATAACGAAAGATATAATTGACTGAATACGTCAAAATGGATTTCTATTCGGACAACCCTTTCTGAGCGCTGAATGGCTAAAATACGAACACGAGATCACCTGGAAAGCAACATGGTTGGCTAATTTACTCATGAATTATTAATGATTTTGAGATAATTATATATATATGCCTGTAAACCCAACCTCGCAAGCCAGGGAAATTTCAGCATACTGTAAAGTGTAAACCCTGCAAAATCTTACCTTGTTTGAGATAGTAGATTACCTGAAAGACACAAAACAATTCAATTAAAGTAAAACAATCATAAAACCAAATCCCTTAGCTTCTGGTCAAGGAAGAATAGCTACGATGGACGGGTCAGTTTTGTAAATTATCCAAATCCACCCTGTCACATTCCCTGTGGGAGTTGAAACTGGTATACCGTGCAGGCTCAACAGCGATGGCTAATTTTTTCACCTAGGTGTCATGAATACGCAATGCAATCAAATGGACGATCTCAGAGGTTAAATGCGCCATCTTTATTCAATTATATCGAGCGAGATGACCCAAATCTCGAATATTTAACCATATATACGATACCTTACATTGACATACATTTGTGAAACTCATTAATAATACATGAAGACACAAAATAAATCATGAGCGTGAATATCTGATACAGAATCATGCTATTTACATAAAGTTCAATTTCTCCACCAAATATCAATCATTTATTTTAAAATGTTGAAGAATGCGAATGTTCTCATCAAAACGTTTCACAGGCCATTTACAACATTCCCGTCCGTGTTGTGTCGCATATACAAACTCGAGCCGAAGTTTGTATACCCGACAGTTTATATATACAAGTAATACAACACGGCCGTTCCTCGAGTATGTAGCTCAGAGGTCAGAGCGCTGCACCGGAATTAGAGGGCCGCAGGTTCAATACACGCTTCCAGAAAGTACGTCGCCTTGGCTTTACAGCCTCGTTTTCATGATTGAGATGTTAGACTTCATCTAATGTCACATAGACGAAAACGAGGCTTTATAGCCAAAGTGCCTTACTTTTCGGAAGGGTGTATACCTACCTTAGGGCCTATAGACCCTTTGCACTGACGTCACAAATCCTTAAAGTGTCCTTCAGATGCTCCCTAACAATATCTGTTTGGGTACAACAACCACATACAGCGCAAAAACTAACCATTTTGATACAAAATTATTATAAAGTTTTACAAAATTTGCTTTGTTTACAAAAGTTATATTATGCATACATTGCTAATTTGTCCTCCAGATGCATCGTCACCGACGTTGTGACGTCATGTTACAGGTCAGATTACATCAGCCATTTGCTTGGTAGTAAAACCATAGACAATCCAAAAGACACAAAGAAATGTCTTTTGGATTGTCTATGGTAAAACTAATGTAAACATTACAGGGACCATCCATAATTATCAACATTTGCACAAACGTGCAAACCTTACGCTCGCTCGCGAGGAAGGGGGTAGACTTGCCCAAGTCTCTCTCGAATGGGTTTTGATAGGGTATATCCAGTTTATTATGAGATCAGTTTTGAACTTCAAGTTCAAAACTGATCTCATAATAAACTGGATACAGTCTATCAGAACCCATTCGAGAGAGACTTGGGCAAGTCTAGCAAGGGGGTCAATGAATGGTACACTACAGACCTATCAACATCATTCCCAAGATTCAATATTTAAGAGTACGTATATCAAGATTTTGTTGGCATCCCACTCGATTGAATAATAGTTGAAGGGTCTTGTAGATGGATACTATCGAGTGGCAATTCTATATACAATTATTGGACCTAACCAGGAACAGCTGCAAAAAATGCAACTATAGGTCCCTGGCAGGAATCGAACCTGCGACCTCGCGATTATCCAGTGGAAATGTATATAGAATTTGCACTCGATAATTTCCATTTACAAAACCCTCCCAACTATTTAAGAGATCGAGCTGAAAAAGACAACTCTCTGAAGGCTTGTGAAAATGTTGATAATTATGCCGGACCCCGTATGACCATTCGATTTCTAAATAATAATATTCACTATTAATATTCAAGTTTCAAAATTGGCTTATTGAATTCAAAAGGAATTCAGTCTAACAGTCCTGGGTTTTTATTAAGTCACTATAAAATTTGATTCCGTTCTCAACGTCGGATTTAAAATAATATTTCTACTTCTTTAACCCTTTTAGTGGCAATGCGCCCTACATTATTACTTTACTCTCAGTCTAAAGCCGGTTTTCCACGAGGCGGAATTTTGCGCGCGGAGAGGAATTTTTCTTTGTCTTGTGATTTCTCGGGTGGAACTAATTAGAAAAGACAAAGAAAGATTCCGCTCCGCGCGCAAAATTCCGTCTAGTGGAAAACCGGCTTAACGCCAGACGATTTTACTCGTCAAGGGGAGAGTGCTGCAACTCAATGGGCTAAGATAATGCTACGGGATTACTGCCATAATTCACGTCCATTTCTAATGTATTTTCCGACACAATAATAACGACTTCCTTTCCAGCTTTTTCGGCACTCTGAAACATGCATCGAACATCTAGGTCAGATGCTATTTCAATCAGTTCGTCTTTGCCATTAATAATTGTCTCCTGATGTAAATCTTGACACTCGGCGTTGATGCCAGTGCAACTCTCTATTCCTGCTTTTAAATCAAAAAAGGTATCGTCGTTCACTACGCATCGTTTCAAGGCAACCTCACCGTCTCTCTTTATATAAACTATTTTCGCTTCAGGTTTGCCATGGGTGACTATTGATTCAGTAGGTTTTCCGGACTGAATGTTCGTCCAAGGGATATCCAAAGCCTCTTTGGCACTCGGACGCTTTTTGGGATCCTCATCTAATAGTGATGTAATCAGGCTGAACAAGGTCTCGTCGTCTCGATGAGACAAATGTTCTCGACCACGTTCCCCATTTTTAAGTGCCAAAATCTCGGATTTCCATTGCCTTTTATCTTCAAGATAACGGCTGAGAAAATACAGCACAATTCCCGCGCTGTATAAATCGACTTTGTAATCATAATGTTCAGTTGCCAGTTCAGGCGCTCTGAACAGTTCATTCCCTATACCCGATGATAGCCTTTGCAGCTTTGGAGCCTCCGTGAGGGACGGAGATCCGTCGATTACAGAACCAATTTCTCTAGCAAGACCAAAATCGGCGATCTTAATATTAACCTGACGTATTTCTGTTGGCTTTGGATTTGCAATGAGGATATTGCTGATATGAATATCGCGATGTACTAGCCCCAAGGAATGCATAGCATTTAAGCCGTTCAAAATCTGTGGGAAAACTTGTCGGTAAAATCTTGGCGGTCCCTGAGCGAGGACAATTTTGGCATTACCCATTTCGTTGCTGTAAACAAACGCTTCCAAGTTGACCCGACACAGCTCCATTTGAATAAACAGATACGGATCGTTGCCGATGTTCATTTGCCAGCAACTGTAATATTTGACAATATTTTGTTGCCACAAATCGGTCTTTGTAAGTACGTCCAATTCTCGTTTCTGGTATTTCGCTGCATCGCCGTGCACAATAGGTAGAAGCTTTATGGCGTATTTCTGATTATCAACGGGGTGTTCGGCTCGAACTACAGTACCATAGCTGCCTTTACCGAGTGGTATTTCGTAATTATAACCTCGATTTTCTAAAGCGATTTTGATGTCCTCTAATTCCTTATTCTCTTGCTCTTTCGATTTATCATCCATGCTAACGAATCTTCGAAGGAAAGTTGATTTAAGGCTAGATATATAAGAAATTTCTTACAATATTCTCACACTCGAGACATTTTGTTTCGCAACATAATATATGACACATGTAATATGATATTTGCATACATCATTCCAAGAAACCAACAGGAAGTTCAAACACTTGGATTCTTTGTCAATCAGTTTTCGTGGGCGGAAATTTTGAGAAAATATATTTAAGGTGGCTCCATACACTTTCATCATCGGGGGACTGGTACCTAATCTTGAGTTTCGCGCGAAAATATTACAAATATATGCAAAAATAAATACAACTTTTTCAGTCTAAAATTCGAACCACAAGTCATGGTTATTTTGATGTTTCGAGTCTTTTTTGTTCTCATTTGTTCTCAAAGAACAAACTTCGTCCTGATTCAGCCCTGAACATTGAATAGCTAGTCTTTTTAGAAGACATTTTAAGGTAAAAAATGCAATGTTTAACGTTCAAACTCTTGTGAAAACCGGGGATCGGCCCGACCGGCGAAACGTTTTTTACTCCAATATTTGACGTTTTATATGTTCATATCCAGAGTTTTTTGTACTTACAACTGGTAAATGTATTCAAAGTGTCACTAACAGCAAAAGAATTCAGTCAAACAGCATCATACGCCGGCTCAAACTGTTTTAAATTGTCAACAACAGCATGAAAACACACAAGTTATACGACTGTAAACGAATATAAAACTATGTAGAGAAGCCAAAAAGTTCATACATGTCACACATATCTTATACCAAACGACACAATCACCTGTTTTCTTGGCGTTATCCCGAGTTAGCATGCAAAACTAAAGATATTTGCATTTCTAAGCAAGAAAACACAACATATATTTGATATTTCGACGAGACTAAAAACCTTTTTGTGCGTGTTTTTCTGGAGATGCGCCTGCGAAAACATGTACGCGCATGTCAATTCATTGATCTTGCAGAGCTCGAAAAACTTTCGGCCGAGCGAGTGAGATACCACAATAAAACGGAGTAATTCACAATTTTGCACGGTGACATGTGATGAAATTTTGCACAACGATAACTTCTTTTAAAACAAATAGAATATCAAAATTTTAAAAAAATCTGTAGATTGGAAAACTTTAAATCCGCAATTTTTTATTCTGGCTATTCTAATCTACAGAATTTTTTTATTTTCAGGGATAAGATTCCTTATTATAAGTGAAAGCTATGCAGCAGTTAAAAATTGGGGGTCACCGGCAATATTCGGAAAATAAAGAATAAAAACCTGCTTAAAATAGCAAAAAATACCATATTTGGCGAGGCTACTGTTACTATGGAAACAATATTATGTTCAAGAATGTTGCAAATTTTTTCTACCAAATACTTAATTTATACTTGGGAATGCTTAAAATTAATAGATGGAGTAATACAATTTATAAATTGAAATTTTTACGCAATAAGGTATTTATACTACGGAACTGTATGGAGCCACCTTAAAGTTGCACCTCTCACTTTGTATAGATGTTCTTATTCTGGGTTAGATATATTATGCTAATTTGTATATAGTATTATTTTTACCTAACCATATCATAACCTATGTAAACCATTGTATTTCTTTAAAAAAAACAAGGTATCAGTTGATGTCCACATCATTATATTTGTGTTGTATGCAATGATTTTTGCCTACAGATTGATTGAGATAAGAAAATAAAAAGCCGAATGTGCAAATAATTACTTCTGGCAAAATGTATTGCTTTGAATCCCTTGTCTGTAGGTCAACACTAAATGCATGCAGTCAAATGGTCATGAAAGTGGACAACTTTTTCAAACAGATTTTTCTTCCTGTGTGAGTAAACCGTAGTACCCAGAGAAAACCTACAACACTTGGTTCAGGGTTGACTCATTTCAAAATTCCAGACACCAATATTGCAAAGCGAAATTAGATTTTAACTTTCACTTCACTAAAATATTTGAGTTGTTTCCTTTGCCATAGATCTAGGGATTTATAGAAAACCAGTCATCAGAGAAACATACTCTGACATCATGAAATGGACAACTATTTGGCAATTCCCATTACCTGTACTTGTTGGTCATTGCCACAGTAACAGTATAAATATATGTAATAATGGTACATACATGCTGATAATTTTGACATAGGGGCAATTTCACGTTGTGGACATTACATTCACAGAAAACAATTAATACAAAACATGCTGTGTTTCCTGTTTGCAACAGTTTCAGATCTGGGAACTTTGTCATAGAAAACCTTAAGGGGACCTCTTAAGATTTCATAAAATAAAACAAAATTCCCTCGTAATCAATTCTTGTAATAAAAAGTCAAAGTACTGTTGCGGACATTACAGCAAAATCAACCACACATTCAAGTGATGTTTTTAAAATCTAATTTCCTGTGAACTTTGAAAGGTATCAAAGGAACTAAAACACTTCCTGCTCTCAGTGATAATTGGG